GTATATCTATGATAATATAAGGTATTATGAATTATGATAACTACATGATAACTACACTAATTGATTAACTATGCCTTATGCAAAATGCGACTTAATTGAAAAATAAAATATTTATTTCAAAATAGAATATATGACAATATTTAAATATACCTAATATATCCTATAGACTGGCAAATCATCTCCGTTCAGAATCGTTTTTCGTATACCTAAAATGATACCTTTAATGATACCTATCATTGCATTCAAATTTAATCCCATCCATTACAGTAACCTACAGTACAGCAGAGCGACATCCACTACTTACCCGCTTTTTTAAATTTGAGTGACATGAGCAGGAAGACTATCCAATGATAGAACCCAACGAGTTTTTTTCCCCATAAGAGGTACTTTAAGTAACATAATAATTAGTGAAAAGATCTTAACACCAATTACATCTGAGACAGTGCATTGGATTACCAGGAAGAGTCTTACATGAACCTTGAAAAATTAGATATCTATTGAAACAAAATATTTTTATGAAATCAATAGAAAACATGGTCTCAATACCCGTGTCTATACAGCAGACTGACGTTTCTGGTTTTTTTTTTCTTTTTTTAAATAAAATATGTATTTTATTTTTTAGAACCTCCGGCATACAAATCCGTTGAAAGCTATATGAAACAAGACTATACACCTTTTGCATACTTATCGGACCTGAAACCATCTACCATGTACAAGATATCAATTGTAATAAATACATTAAATGGAAGCGTAATTGAAACCGAATCTGTAACCATGGCTACACTTACAGAAACTGAGTGAAAACTAATTGAGATATTTAATTAAATTAAATTATATTATATTCCATTCTCCGTTTGTATCAGAATAATAATCTTGGCGGTTATAAAATACGTGAATAATTAGTGAACTCTTTTGTGGGCTATGAATGTATTTTTAAAATTCAAATTTTGATACAAATTATATTGAATATAAATATTTTGAATTATAATACAGCCATATGGCATAGGTATAGTTAAAAAATTACGAACTGGCATGTTACTAATCTCTCTGTCAATAATTGTCAAGTTTATACCATGTACCTATTTCACACTATTTATACTATTTACTATAGATACTTTGCTATTAATTTCTATTATTTATTAGGTACCTATCTATTCATTAATTTTAATATTATCATTAATCATTATAATTATTGCCCTTCATATTAGTATTATTGATTTATTATTACCTATTTTATAGTAATAGTAGTAGTACTAAGTTACTTAATTGTATTTAAACAAATATAACTGTATAATTTTTACTATCAAAATATTTTGATTTTTAATTATTAAAATAATCATTAAAATTATATTTAATACAACACTACTATGATTATGATTGTAATAATAGGGATATTATTTTTCTGCTTTTCAATCGATCCTCGAATCACTAAAATGGTTTTGATTTTACACTTTAACAGTTAAGTAAATAAACATAATAATAAAATAAAATTCTTGCTTTATTTTTCCAAAGCTGATTAGTTGCTACAACAGTATGCTCTCGTTTCCATCTCAATTTGATACCCGTGCAACTTTTTATGATCAGCTCTATATGACTTTATATAATCATGATGCTTTACAGTTTATACTAGATTAACTATTTTKAAATTTGTACTTTTAGTTTATTAGAAGAGTTCCTCTTTCTTTCCAAGGGCTTATTTGTATTTAAATATCTACTTAATCATGTGATGGGTCCATTGACTCCATAGTTTTGTATGAATAATTTCAAAGTTAATTGTTTTTAAAAAAATCAAAAATTGATATTTTAATTAAATGATTTTTTTCTTTGGCGAATGCTGTTATTGAAATAACATATTTCATATAGTAGCCAATAGTGAACCTTCACTTCATACAATATAGGTACAATAATAATAGCAACGACGAGATTATTTTGGTAAAATTTCGTAGAAAACAGAAACAATGAAAATACAAAACTATAAAAAATATTAATTAATGTAATTACCTACTCTGCAAAGAGCCCAAACATTTTTACAAATCCACTTTATTAACAGGTGGTGACTATGCCAAATTGTCTATTGTACAAGACAGATATAGACTTGTAGGTATAAGGTTTGTCACAAAAATTATGTTGACCTGATTGAAAAATAACTTATTACTTATTAAAATAATACAATCTCAATACTTGCAATACGTACATTATACGGTACCTACCGATATAATATATAGTAGAATAGTATAATTCTGAATAAATATGATTCAGCAAATCGTGATTCTGAAAATTACGTCTTAAGTCTTTACTTACCACTTCAGTTCTATTTATAACTCTGGGGTATAGGTAAGAACTAAAAATGGTGATAAGGCATCTTTTAGATTATCTGTATTATCCCCAATGAATGTTTTCCCTTATGTCCGAAAACCCGAAACCTTTTTTCCCCGAATCGATATTAATGTATATTATTATAATTATAATACATATTATAAAAAATTAAAATTGATAATAACATAATAAATCTTGTAATGCAAAAATTAAATATTAAAAATCGTAAATTTTCAAGGGGGTATGTCTAACTATACCTAACCTAACCTATATATAATCGCACCATATTATAATATTTACGTAATAATGTCATACTTTTTTTCGGAGGGGGGGATACATTTTTCTCCGGAGGGGGGATATTACCCCCCCCCCTGAAATAAACACTGATTATTACGTAGTGCGCATATGCTGCTAGTGTTATACTGTTATATTTGATGTTCTCCTATTCTCAAACCCGTGGCATAAACAAGTACTTCTCTCACTACTGATTCTAGAGCTATGTTTTAATACTTCGTAAAGAATATTCTTCCAGAAGTCCAATTTTAAGGTTGAAAATATATTTGAATTTGTTCGCTTTTTATCTGTTTTTGAAAATGAATTTTTATTTTATTTTTTTTTTAGTAACATTACGTGGAAACGAATTGAAAAAAAAGCAAATTAATTTGATACCTACAAACTATGCACTTATAAATTAAACAATATAATAAATCAAAAATTAATTTCCTTTAAAATCTAGAAAAAAATAATAAGRAATTCAAATATATTTTCAAAATTAAAATCCGATATCTGATTCTGCGTGAATATTCTTTCACTTCTTGGGGCTTTTAAAGCCACAGGATTTGAAACTTGTTTGATTGCAATACATATTGATGCATGGTTGCACAAATGTACACTACGGATTTCCAAGAATCTAAGGCATAGCTTATCTTTAATTACATAAATCTATCTAAGAACCTACGCAAACTCGGGATTGGTAAATTGGGTCCCAAATGACCATAACTCGGTAAATTGAGTCTCGAAAAAAAACAAGTAATAGGTAAGTTGAGTGCCAGGAAAAAAAAGGTGGTAGGTAAGTTAGGTCCGGCGAAAATAAGATTGTAGGTTGCGCCGTTCCGGCTACTAATAAAAAAAATAAAAAATAAATGTTATTATTATTATTATTATTATTATTATGTGTTATGTGCTATATAAAAATAAATTTCATTATATTATATTATTATATAGTTCATTTATATTGATTAAAAATATTACAAATACAAATTAATAAAATAAATTTCATTATTATTATTATTCTGGAGAGCAAATTACCAAATACACCAGTAATGTTATAATCCGATTCGAGTTTATTAAATCAATAATAATTAAGTTTTTACCGAGTATATTATGTATATTAAACATCATAATAATTTACTTTTTATTTTTTTTATTAATTTATATTTTTAATTATATAAATTAAATATATAACAGTATAATCTTATAAAATTTAGTTTTTAGATTTTTAATTAGTAACAGGGATTTATAATCTTATTTTCTCGCGGGACCCAGCTTACCTACTACCTGTTTTTTTCCCAGGACTCAATTTACCGCCTTCAAAATGTACCAAACTTATCTCGGACCCGATTTACCTAGCCCCTACAAACTAATGTTTCGTCACTACAAACACAGTCGTCAGTCACACGGTCTACCTGGCTGTTAACAGAAATATTACCTTAACCGCTAAAAAATATACCGCTTCAACAGCCTTAGAAAAAAAATTATTATTTTAAATTGTATGATCAATTATTATACTTAAAACAATATATATATTTTATTTATTCCACAATACTAGTTATTCCCAACCTGGAAGCGTGATGGCATTGTTTAGTATGCGCAAGCAGTTATCACAAAATAAAAATGTATTTTAATTATTTACATAAATTAGGGAAATAGCAAACAAATTAATAATATCCGGTCAGTACTGCGCCAATGCGTATTGCAATTTTAATATTACAATGTATACATTATTACTTATCATATAACCCAATATTTTATAAAATTAACAAAGATAACTTGAATTTAATTTTAATTATGACAAATGATTAATGAAAAAAAAAAATAATAATAAGATTCATGAAACCAGGTAGTAATTCACTGTTTCAAGTCATTCATTTTTTTACTGTTTCAATTTATTTTAAATTATGATACAATGAGTGACAGGGACGTCTGAACTCTGGAACCCCCACCCCCTCACCACATGGATCGACAGAATCTAAAGTTCATATTGTGGAAACCACTGATTGTTTAATATGGTTGATATTGTATATTTTATGTTCTTAGTTGGTTACCGTTAAAATATTTCCTTTTAATCTGTTTTCTCTGTCCTGTTGGCACCACCTACCAAATTATAAACAACTCAATTGTATGGATATTACAAATATTATAATTACATATTAAGATACTAAGTCTGGTACAATCGCTCCTTATTGGGTTATTTATGATAATAATGATAACGTAATCCTGAGATTATATCAACAGTAGCACAGGCGCTCAGCTGATGACTCTATTATAAAATATAATTTTGGAGGTATTTCCCGGAGTATTACATTCTATATAATTATAATATAAAATGTAAAGTGAATGTTTAATGTTTTTTGTGCTAATCTTTAATAATAGATAAATCATTGGAATAGTCTGCAAATTCAAATTTAAAGTTTTTATTTACAAAAGCTACAAACATTCAAGTAAGTAAGAATTAATATTTTTGTATTACATATTTGAAAACATGTTTGTAATACTTAATCAAATTATAAAATTATTTCTTAATTAATAATAAGTAACTTATAGTTTTACAGAAAAGTTGACAGTTGTGTGATACAGTGTTCTATGTTTCTAAATTTAAAAATATACAAATAATAATTTATTAAAAACTATAATTCATACAATAATATACAACAAACACAAAAAATTATGTCAATTATTTTATTGTAGTTTAATGTTTATAACTAAGGCTTATTTAATGTCCCTGTTTTTATAGTTTAACTATCTATAATATGTATGGATTAGTGATTATATTTAAATTAAAAATAAATGAAGTAATCAAAAGAAAAGAAAAATATTTGTGCAAGAACAAAATAGTTCAAACAAAAAACCAAAAATAATTGACTATTTCAAAAATCTGTTTCAAATGTAAGTCATAAGATGCAAATACATTTTATCCAAAAACTCACATATACATAACTTATGTAAGTAATTTAATCTTTGATTATTTCAGAGTACAGAAAGTAATAAGATAAATTGTATAAAAAACTAAAATTTAGTTGACCAATCTATTGATAAAGCTGCGATGTAAGTACCAATATATTTTATTCAAATACTTCAAAGCCGGGTTGAAAATAAATGCCTGATAAAATGTTGTTAATTTTATTGATTTATTTAGTATGTTAAAGCAGCAATTTAGTTAGTTTTAATTATGTATATAAGTATTCAAATAAATACATGATAAAAAACTGTCTTCTTACTCAGTCTTTAACAAAACTTTTTTAAATTATCTATAAGATAGTCAAGATAGACGAATGGATAATTTGACCAATAATTATAAATTTAAAAATAAATCACAGGAAAATGAATTTTCATTAATTTTAGATAATGTTAAATTAAATTTACAAGAAAGATAAGAATTTATTAATATAATTTAGACACCTGATTTAAGTTATAATTTTCAAATAATTACAGTAGGGAAATACATCTTAAATTTCAAGCAAATTGGCAACAAATAATGAACTAGCTTTCCTAATTCTAAAATAAKAAATGGAGCATTTTACGAATATTGTGTAATTTTTTCTCAAAGGAATAAGGAAACAAAGTTTAGACATGTTGTGTACCATAAAATTTTCTAATTGGAAACACGCAACTGAAAGTTTAAAAATCACAAAAAAACTAGTTGTCATAAAACAGAAAATTATAAAGTTATGTCTCAAAATAATTATACTTTTATAAATATTCAGATAAATAAAGTGATTGCTGCTGAAATAATTGAAAATAGAAATTTGATTATGCCTGTAATTAAGGTATAATTTTCTGTGGGCGCCAAGGTCTTTAATTAAGAGAACATATCTAACGATTTTGAACCTTTAATAATTCAAAACGAATTATCGAAAAGAAAATGATAGTAACTTTAGAGCTGTTTTAAGATATGGACTTAGAAAGACTTCTGTAGGAAATTCTGATCTTGAATTGATAAGAGAACATTGTAAACGTAATGCACAATATATTAGTCTAAAAATACAAAACAAAATTGTTAACATATGTAATAATTTAATATGTGTTTGATAACATAATTTAAAAAATAAATTCCTCAAAAGGTTTTTGTGTTTTTGTCGATGAAACTGTTGACATAGCTTGAGTAGAACAGTTTTCAATTTATGTTAGGTATATTTATAATGATGAAATAAAAGAAGACTATCTAAATTTTTTTCTAGTATAAAATAAGATTTAGCTTATAATAAAGCTTATAAGTGGAAGGTTTAATGGTGTTCAAAGTATAATAAAACAAAAGTACAAGACAGCTGTATAAATTCATTGCAGTGCTCATGTATTAAATTTAGTAATATGTAGTTCTTGTGAATTATCTTGTGTCAGAAATGCGATGGGTTTTTTTGAAAGTATATATAATTTTATGATTAGACAGTGTGTGTTACAAAGTGAGGTAAGAAATAAAATATCAAATTTAAAGAAAGAAAAATTAATAATGTTATGTGCGACACAGAAATTTCTGGGTACATCTTTGAGATGAGTGAAATACTACTTAGATGTAAAAATAATAAGGGACAGCAAAAATCAACAATGTTAATTTATAAGGATACATTTTCACTAGATGTTTTTTGTACAAAAAATTATTAAATATTTTATTTTATTTCGAGCTAGAGAAAATGAGGGGGATTGTTTCGTATATTTTAATAATACTTAGTTAATAATAAATAATAGTTTTTAATTTWAAATTGAATGTATAGTCTTAGGATCTATTTAAATTTGGCATAGACATTAAAATTATGTTAACGTATCACACATGGTTTCTTACATACTAAAAATTGGTTTGGTATTGAGTGAGGTACATTATATCTCATTAAAATTAATGCGTTAGGATTCGAATGATAATAACCTATGTTAGAGTAATCTGGTAGTATACATTTTTTACATTTTAAACAACGACCAACTACATCAAATAATAGCCACATTGAACGAGGTATATCTTGTCTTTTAAAAGGTACACAATTATCAATCAAAGAGGATAATGACAAATGACTCAATGGTTTTACAATTAAATTACCATCTGGTTTTTTTATGCTTCCAAATACCTTCATATATGAAATAATGTTATTGTAACCTCGAGGTTCAGGCAATTTAAATATGTTATTTGATATGTCGACTTCATTAAATTGTCTAAAAGTTAAACTACTAGGATAGTATGATATCATATTGTCAGCAATATTTAAGTGTTGGAGTTTCTTCAGTTCACTGATAAAGTTTGGTAAATATTTCTGAAAAAAAGAAATTCTTAATTAACTTCAGTATTTTAGTTATTTTACTAGTAGGACATATTAAAATAAATTATTTGATCTATATTTTATATATGCATATAGGTAATTAATATTTTTCAAAAATAACTTTGCTATAAATAAAAATATACAATTAAACATTATTATCAAGCATACAAAATATATTGAAAACTTAGAAGCTATTGAAAAGATGCGACAGTATAATATATTTAAAAACAATGTGTGTGTAAAATAGATAGTGGTCTTGTAAATGGGTATAACTTGTTAAAATTGAGATTTGTTTGGCAATTCTTCTAGATTTTATATAACTGAATATAAAATTGCAAAATATTTAGTCTTTAGATTCATATTTTTATGACATTTTTTGGATAATACATAAGAAATTTAAAAATTAAAAATTCCATAATATTGATAATGTAATTTTCTTATTAGCAATACTATTATTATAATTTCTTTTATTATTTTAACTATTTGTTATCATGTTTAAGTTAAATATTATGTCAATTTTTAGTTAACAGTAAAATCATAAAAATATACTTTTTTGTGTTGTACGAGCTAGAATGAAATATTATAATATATTTTTTCTTTATTTTTTTTGGCAATTTATTTTATTGAAAAATCTGAGCCTTGGTTACGAATTATGAAAAATGTATAGATTATAATTTAATACTTAATAGACGACAGTTAAGAAGATTAAGGGTTTTTTTTATTCAGCACATTTATCAGAAAATCAAATTATGTATTAATGGAACTGTGCATATAATAATACCTATTATCTTAGTTTGAAAATAGTGAATTTTTAAGTCACATTAAAAAAGAAATAAGTTWTGCGTAAAATCTAAAATCTAAAAATATTTCAATTTTTATGATTTAAAATTTAATTATGCATTATGCATAATGAGTTAATCTTAAAAGTATTAATTAAAAAATTAATATTATTAAAAAAGTATTAATATCGGCACTATATTTTAAATTATGTATGTCTTAAACCGTTTCAATGTTTACATAGCCACTTAATTCATCAAAGCATTAGAAGAAAAAATTGGAGCTATAAATGTGGTATTTGTATTAATTTATAAAAGTCAATAAATAAGAGTTAAATTATTAGTAATAAATTTATTTAGTTACCAGCTTATTATTGGCTGCAGATAATGTACGTAGATTTTTCAGGAACATAATTTCAAATGGTAATGATTTCAAGCCAACCAAGTCAATGTTTAATGTTTTTAACGTTTTACAAATTGTGTTCACAGATGTCCAATTCCAGAAGGTATTTTTATTATACTGTGAGCTTGGCAGTATACTGCCTGATAAGCTAAAATATTTAATGGGCAAATGGCCAATTCCTACAGGCATATTTGGCAAACTGCAGTTTTCTAAACTTAGTTTTTTCAAAAAATGTGAGTTTACTATACAGTTCTCAAAACTATTAACATTAATAAACTCAAGAGCCCTTAGATCAAAACAATTTGAAACATTGTTTTCACTTAACACCGCTTTAAGCGGGCGAGGTTTATTAGTTTCAGCAATTATAATAGTGTCTTTAAGTTCATGGTAGAACGTCTTTAAGGATGACTGGCTTTGGAATGATATCGACAACACTTGCTTAGGCTCTTTGAAATCCAAGTATACCTTATTTTTTCTAGAGATTGATGAGTAGAACATATTTTTTAAGTTGGTAATGTCATACTTCACATCTTTCAGGAACAGTGTATTTTTCACACACACGTAGAATTTTTTGAGGTCTCCGTGATATACTTGCTGAATTGACACATACGAAATGGCCAACGGCGACTGTTCGTTCTCTTCTATTGTATCCAGTGGAATGATATCATGAGAGAAAGTCCGACATTCGTATAACATTGYGAATGACATTCACGTTAGCGTTTAATTTAAAACTACGAGTAGGTGAGTATGCTTCGTCGAGTTTTCAATTGATATGCGATTGCTATTAAAATTTTAACCACACAGAATAAAATAATATTAGAAATGAGAATTGATGAAATCAGAAAGTAAAACACGTATAAAACTTAAATTATAATACGTACCTAAATACTATCGATGAATGACGATGATGGACTGACACGATAATTTGAAGCACTTTTATAGTTCTCATATGAAATTATGAAATGACAAATCTCCCTGAGAGTTGTATGATCAGCATAGGCACACTGTACACTGTAGTACTGTACGAATGCACGTCACACGATGTATACCATAGTATAAGGAATTAAGGAATAAGAAGTATAGTTAATGATTAGACTGTGCAAATAGTTTTAAGGGGTAATGTATATTTTATATGTGAAACCAACAATGCTTATAATAGTTTTAGGTCATATTTAACACATTAGCGCTGGTTATACTTATTTGAGGTTATGTAATGTAATAACCGAAACATGGACCAAATGGTATGCTGATGTAAGTGATTAAAAACGACGTTGWGATGATGAGGTGATAACACTTATGCCGGGTAGTACTTGTCATTAGTACTTGTCACTCGCACTTGCACATTACGGGTAAACAGAAAAAAATAGTGCCCAGTATTAGTAAAACCGGGAGTGCGAGTGAATAGGACGCCGTTCTATTTACTAACGACAAGTAGCTACCCCCTTCACGACTCTACACTACTCGCGGTTGCACTCACAACGTGTGACCGCATGGTGATAGTGCTTAGTAATAGTGATAACAAAATATTTGTGTTATCAGTTTATCACGTGTGCGGCGCATGTTGCATACTGTGATAAATATTGTTCGTTATATTATTAATATTTTTAAATACATTTAACTATTGTATACCTAAGTCGAAAATATTAAAATGGCTGAAAAGTGGAATGGACAAACGACTATAAAGTTCATTGAGGAGTATAAATCACATGAATGTCTATGGAACGCCAAAGATATTTCTTACAGAAATAAATACATGCGTGATGCGGCACTCCAAAAAATTGTTGTCGAAATGGCTATTGACGGTTTAAATGTAGCTGAAGTAAAAAATAAAATGAGAAACCTAAAATCGATGTATTATCAAGAAAAAAAAAATTGAAAAATCAAAATCATCAGGAAGTAGTGGTGAGTGGCGACAATGTGTACGTTCCAAACATTAAATGGTTTACAGAGATGAACGCATTAATAAAAGATTCAGATGAAAGTAGGAAAACTATTGATAATGTAAGTATTGTATTATGTTACAATTCCTTAACATTCAGTTTAAAATTGTTTTTGGTATGACTAATTATTTTAGACTCTAAGTAGTTTTATACAATTTTAATGTTTTTGATCATAAAATATTTATTAATATTGATATTTATTTTTAGATTAACTCAAATTTGTTTTTACCTTAAATTACCTTTATAATTATTATTAAATCTAAAACTTAACTGCAATAATATTGATGTATAAATACATTTTTATTACATTATGGAGTCCGTCTAATCAATGAATCATTATGGATTGCCATGATACAGCACCTATGTTTACAAAATATTTACTAGGTTTTTTCCTTATTTCTCTGGCCTGCCTTGAAAAGTGATTACTTCCTATTCGGTCGATACTTGGCATCAATGTTATGTTTTCCTGTCTCCATGTACCTGGTATAATCTCCCCAGTGTCTAAATTTTCATAGACTACATTGTCTCTTATTAAAAAATTATTTGAAGTCTTCTTTAGCCAGTTATGTAGAGCTGTACGTATAATTTTATCTATTGTGGACACATCTGTTCCAATAAGTTTTTCAAAAATCCTAAATCTTGACACTAAGATGCCAAATGCATTTTCAACTATTATACGTTTCCTAGATAGTCTGTAATTAAAAATCTTCTGTTCATACGTCAGAGATGAGTGTTGGTAAGGTTTTAATTAAAACCACTCAAAAGCACGTTTTGAGTGGAAATGCTGCATCTCCTACAAAAAATCCACCAGTTGGTAACAAGTCATTTTCAAGATCTTTCAAAATAGAACAATTTTGGAAAACACCGCCATCTGAGCATCTTCCATTAGCTCCAACATTAATGTAGCTAAAACAATAATTATCATTAACAACTGCCAATAAAATTATATTGTTTGTCCCTTTGTAGTTATAAAAATCATTGCCACAATCAGGTGGTGCACAAATCATTACATGTTTCCCATCTATGGTGCCATATGCCCATGGAAAATTCAATCTTGAATTAAAACCTTTTTCAATTTTATTCCATTCGTCATGAGTAGCAGGTACCTAAAACATTGTACTTAATAAAATTAATTTTAAAAGATTTCAAATAGTTCTAAAGTTTTTACAGTTTTTTTAACATTATTTCCTACAGATAAACTTGTATATAATTTTTATATTTTTATATTCTATTAATTAATTAATTAATTGGTAATTAAATAATTATAATTAATTTTGTAAAATGTTATGAAAAAAAAGAAAATCTTATTTTTTACATTTTTAGTGCACTTCTATATGTAAATTTAATTTATGCATAAACTAAATTCATGTATATTTATGTATACATTTATGTAAATGTGAATTTATTATTAAATATTTTTATTTTCAGACCGTAACCAATTCTAGTTCTGAAAATGATACTCAAAGTATTGAATCTCAATGCATCCAAGATAATGAAGAAACTAATATTGACATTATACCTAAGAATTCAGGAGAAACATTTGAAAGAAATAGGGAACCTATCAAAGCAAACAAAAAAGAATCCAATAGAAAAGGCATTTTTTGCGCGATTAATGAACAGTTAAGAGAAATTATAAAAGATCAGCCAGAAGTAGAAGAAAACCAGTTTAATTGCTTTGGGAAGAGTGTGGCATCCCAATTAAAACAATTAAATTATGAAAATGCATTGATCGCTCAACCTAGAATACAAACAATATTGACTGAACTGGCTATTCAAAACTTTGGTAGGCCATATTCTAGTATGTCATATATGACAAGTTCAACTGATAGATCAGATCCATTACCACCTGATAATTATGATGATAATGATATTTTATGAGAAAACTATTTTTTTCGAATTTTCCCACGTACTGAAATAAAGTAAGTTGATAGAAACATATTTTTAAACTAATCAATAAAACAAAATCATACTTTAAATTATACTTTATATACTTATTTATTTATATTCATATATTTTTTGTTCAATATATTTTATAGTTAATTAAAAATGCCAAAAAAAGAAGATCCAGTCTTTAATACACTATTAGTTGAAGCAGTAGAAAAATATCCATGTTTGTATAATTATAATTTAAACGAATATAGCAAACGTGAGTCAATGCAACTAGCTTGGGAAAGTATTGCTAAAGGACAAAGGAGTAAACGATACAGGTTAGTGTTAAGAGGACGTGATACCCGCATGTGTTGTCTCCGTCTTACAAATGCGTAACATGGTACATTTTTCGCTCAGCAGAACACGTGTAGCTCCGTTAACTTAAAAATTAGAGTGAACTGTCCTCTTA